CAATCTCAGTCTGCCTGTCTCCCCGTCATCCAGAACAGTGCCTGGCACGAGAAGGTGCTGACTAAACATCTGTGGAATGGATGATCTGTATCTCCACGGCGCCCACATCCGCTCAGTTACCTGCTAGACAACCTAACAAAAGCCAACAAAGAAACTGGCCCTGGAGAACACAGATGCGAAAGCACTCTGGGGTGCGAACACCAGGCAGGGCTACAGGCACGTTTCCCTGCTCAGGGGCCCTGTGTTCATGAACCGCAGGCGTAAGAGAACGCGCCGGAGTCAGACTGCCCTAGCTGAAATCCCGGCACCGCCCTCTGCCAGCCGGGACCCGGAGCACTTCACTTCCTTGGGTCTCACTTTCCACATCTACACAGAAAAAAGGGAGGGAACGGTAGTTCGTGTTCACTGCATGAAACAGTTGAAAGGGTGAAATGAGCTAAGTACAGTTCTAAGACACAAAAGTACCTAATAAATATTAGTAATTACTTGGCTTTTTTATTTTGATATATACCCACAGTCATATCCCTGGGAAGAAAACAGGATCATAGATTCACCTCTCCCCAACAAAAGAAATAGCACCAAATGAGGACTAGGCAATCGAATGGATTCTCTTCCCTGAGGGATAAATGGAAAAGAAAAATCAGCAATTAAGTCTGATTTTTTTTTTTTGGCCCTTCTCAATCTTCATCTCTCTTCTTGCCTTCTCTTCCCCTGCCTTCGTAAAACCTTTCTGAGCGCCTGTGAACCTGGCTCAGGCTGTGGCTCTGCTGGCTCTCAGGAGACAGTTCTTAACCCTGTTCTGCAGTACTGCTGTGGCCCGGGGAAGAACGTTTAACCCCGCAGGGCCCCATCATCTAGATTATCGCTGACGATTTTATTTGTTTATTTTTTTAGAGAGAGGGGGGTGGGGGAGAAAGAGAGGGAGAGAAACATTGGCATGCAAGAGAAACATCAATAGTTGCCTCTTGCCACACACCCCAACTGGGGACCAAACCCACAACCCAGACATGTGCCCTGACCTGGAACCAAATCGGCGACCTTTCACTCTGGGGCACGACGCCCAACCGAGTCCAACCAGTCAGGACACATCTAGATTATCTTCAAATTCTCTTCAAAATCTAAAACTCCACAAATAAGAAATTGATCATTATTAGTAGTACATTCAAGTCAAACACTGACCTACTAAAAAATACATTTGAACTGTATTTGGAATACTACACAAATATGGGCACAGGTACAACAGACTCTAAAAGCTGAATTTTTCCTGGTCTTGGTTTCAGGGAACAACACACGAGTACCCTGAAGTTTTTATTCAACTTCCTTATCACAGTGGAACAGACTTATTAAATCAGGACTTTCTCTTAGGATCATTGAATGGTCCTTTACTTACAAACTTCTGGGTACTGACACTAAGCATTTCTAATCACTATAAATTACCAGACCAGTGCTTATAAGTGCAAGGTTACTGAGCAGAGAGCCAGTGGTTTTGACGAATCAGAACTGTCACTCACCACCGCAGAAGGTGACTTAACTGGAAAAACATTTAACAATCATACTACTTTCTCTGGTTCTTTCTGCTACCTAACATCGCCCCAAGACACTATATGTCCCTGTTGAGGAAAAGGGGTCAAATTAAAATGATAGGTTAACAACTGACATGGAAGACATTTACAATATACATTTCCAGTAAAAAGAGCAGATTACAAAATAATATAACCAGCAATATCAATCCTATTCCGATAAAATATGTATTTTGGTATGTAAATATGTATTTTTTACCAAAATACCTACACACATCCAATAGGATATAAATGAAGTTTTTAATAAGCTTATTAGCCCTGGCTGGAGTGGCTCAGAGGCCTATAAACCAAAAAGTCCTGGTTCAATTCCCAGTCAGGACATGAGCTTGGGTTGCGGGCCAGGTCCCCAGTAGGGCACACCAGAGGCAACCACACATTAATGTTTCTCTCCCTCTCCTTCTCCCTCCCTTCCCTTCTCTCTAAAAATAAAGAGAAACATCTTTTTTAAAAAATAAGCTTATTGACTTTTCTGTAAAATATTTGTTTGCATATCTATATTTTCTTATTTTTCTACAATGAACACTTATACCTCCTGAAAGAATTCAAACAGCTGTTTTATCGAACAAGAAAAATAGATCTGGCACCCACACTATCCACACGTCTCCTTGAAGCAGAGCTCAGGCCGGGGTTCCCAGGCACAGACACCCTGGGGCTGAGCGGGGGGTGGGGGGGGGGAGTGCTGAGATGTTTCCGGTTCCAGCCATCAGGTACCACCAACATAAGTCCAGATCTCTCCTTCCTGTTCCCCTCAACTTCCCACTTACAAGCTTTACCGATTTGCAGCCCTCTGGGCAGAGCTTACCAAACTGACCAAAGGTCCTACATTCCAGTTCAGGATTTCAACTTCCCCAGTCATTGACTTAGGAGGATCAGTAACAGAAGAGCTCAAGCCACTCTGGCAGAGATCCAATTATTAAAGTTGGAGCTAACTACTGCCCCTCATTTTAGGCTGTCCAATGCCAACCTTTCTGACCTCAAGAACAAAAAATAAGCCATGATGTTTAAAAGCATCATCTTCAATTCAAATACGTTATCCAGTGAAACATTCCTGTTTTTAACCCAAAATGCTAACTTCTTATGGATTCCCTGGCATATCAAAGGCAGCCACTTCCCAGCTGAACCTCCCAAGATCCGATCAGCCAAGAACAAGTTCATCACCAGGCACAGGTATCATTATATCATAAGACGTGAAGGTTGTTCCAGCAGCTCAGTGACCTATCAGCAAAAAGGTGTGCCAAGAATCTGTGATTTCCCAGCTAACAAAAGCAAAGTGCATACACAGACGTGACAGGAAGACATACATCCAAGGCAGTAGAGATGAGGGCAATACAAGGGAAAGGAGTAGAAATAGCAAGAATGAGTCTTCCAAGGGTGCTGTGAGGAACTCCTCCTACTGAGCGAGCAAGAGAATGTCACCAGAGCCGGTGCTCTCAGAGGCACATCAGCTGAGCCTCCAAGCTGCTCTCATGCATTTCCAATAATGTGATGTCTAGCGAAAGCTGCATACATACTTAAACACCAATTGCCTTCTCACCTCTGCATTCACTTACCTTTTAAACATCATCCACAATTCCCACCAGAGCCTTGTCCTCAGATTATAACAAAGAAGCACAGAGTCTGCACAGCACTGTTTTATTGCAAGAAAACAGGACGGCCAACTATGGGAACCTGAAAAATGTGACCACTTCAGGCTTACTGTGGTTCTAAACCACTCCCCTACCCTAATTATCCCTCAAAAGAACTGTAACAGGCACTCCAGGCAAAGAGGGAAAACAAGTCCAATTACAACATGTGCACTTGGTAGATGAAAAATGCGAACATTCTTGAACTCTGGCCACATTTCAGAAGACTTTCCACTTGCAGTTTAACCTCACTGACAAGGAAAGATTAAAGATCGGTTGCACTTCAACCAGGGTTCTACCAAAAAAGGTAGAAAGAGAAATTAACTGACCACAGTATTGTCCATGATACTAAAAGGGAAGCCAGCTGAAAATTCAAAATGACCCTGACTCCTTATCAAGCATTTACAGAGGAAGAGGAAGTGGTTTTTATTTTATTTTAAAATTAGGACTAACAATAAGACCCGTTTCAAGAGTATTCTCCACTGGAAAAAAAAACAACGTACATTTTGAATTTGAAGATACCTACAGGGGGGTCTTACAGACACATTTCCAGATCCAAACCCCCCATCCACAGCCCACCTGCCTTTCCTTCACAGAGATGGGGAGACACAGTCTGGTAGCGCTTCTGCACATTGCTGATAAAGTGCTGGAGAGAGGAGCAGAGAAGAACTTCAGTAATCCAAAAGTGAGAACGTGTCTAATTAGGCATTTGGATTGGGAGCCATTGCTCAAGAAGCCCTCAGTCTGGCCTACAAGCTGTAACCTCTCCAGCCTCCTCCCCTGTGACTGTCCCCCTCAGCCACGGGGCTGGCTTCTCTGAGGCTCCTCTAACACTCCAGACTCCTTCCTCTGCCAGTACTACTGTCCCCTCAGATCCCAAGCATCCTTCAAGTCTTTGCTCAAATGTCAGGCTTGCAAAGAGAAAAAAGGTAACACTTTTTCCCATGATACTTAGCACCTTCCAATATACATAAAATTTACTTATATCTATTTTATCTATTGTTTGTTCCTCTCTCTCCCCCGCAAAGAAGCTCCAGGAGAGCAGAGATATTTGTTTCGTTCACTGATGTATATATCCCAAGCGTTTAGAACAGTGCCTGGCACAGAGTGGGAACTAAAAAAATATTTTCTGAATGAATGAATGAACTTGACAGTAAAAATCCAGAAGGAAAGTAAGAGGGGGTGGAAAGGGTGACGGTGAATGGGCGAAATGAAAGGAGAGGAAAGTGACAAAAGGGAATTCACCAGGGAGAGGTAAAAGCTGGCTGAGGTGGGGGCGACACAGAGTTTCTCCCTGCAGTGCAAATGGGAGGGGAGAGCCGGTGCACAGTATCCCGCCGGCGGCGTCAAATAGCGCTGTTAGGAGCAGACAGGGGAGACAGGAAAGCTCTCAAGATTCACGAAAAATTCCAAGCACAGGGCAGACCCACCAGGGCGGCAGACTCTGGGCAGGCCCCACTGGAGTCTGGGCCACCCAGCCCTTACTCTCACGCACTGCCCAGAACCCCAGCGCCTCTACAGTGTTACCCAGGGGCGTCCCGGGCCGCAGAACCTTCCGGGCTCCGGCCCCTTCACCTGGCCAACAGGAGCCGGGCCCTGCGCTCCGCACCTGCCTGCCCGCGCCGGGGCATCCCCACTCCGACCCACCGGAGGCCCCAGAGAGCCTCTAAGGACCTCGCCCCGCCCGGCTCCCCTCCCGCACACACCCGCCGCCCTCTCCGCACCGGGGAAGGGGCTCCAAGCACCCCTTGCCCGGGCCACTCAAGCCGGACGCCCTGCCCGTGCGGCGTCCTCTCACCTCGGGGCGCACGTATGACACGAAGGAGGGTTTCAGCACCTTGGTGCCGCCGCCAGCGCCGACTACCGCTTTCCCCAGCATACCACCGCCCTGGGAAGCAGCGACGCGCCGAAATAGAGGTGGCCGCTCGGACTACGGCAGCGGCGGCGGCCACCAGCACTGGCGGCTGGGGCTCCGCCCATCCCCAGGGCCGCGAGGGCCGCGGCACCGCCCGCATCCGGCTCCGCCGCCGAAACCAATCGCTCCGCCCATTCCGCGCCTTGGGAGACTGTGGCCAGAGGCCACGCCCCCCTCGCAACAGGCGAGTCTCACTGGCGGAGAGTCGCTATTTGAGGTAGGCTCTGTTTCACCCTCACCGCGGCAAAGCCCGCCCCCCTGCGTTCTCTGATTGGCCATGCCCCTTCTTAAAGGAACCTGGAGAGATGTTTTCTCTGCCAATCTAGAGAGCGTTTCCTCCGGACTCCCCGGCGATTGGATAGCAAGTATGTCTCCGTCGTCCAATGATCCTGCGGTAACTAAGTTGTGAGCATCGGTCAAGACGTTTGTTCTTTCCCGGTCGTCTTGGAATAAAACTTCCCAAAAGTATGATATGGCAGCTTCCCCCCTATAAGTTTTAAATCCACATTAATGACATTCAGCTTTATTATTTTAAATGTAGAAAAAAATTAAATAAACCAAGTGTTAACAGACGCTTAATAGTAGTGCCTGATGTTTGATTATGAAGTTCTTTGTCTATCTCATTCTCCAAGTTTTTGTTTCTTCGTGTTTCTGACAATTATCAAGGGCCCTTAAGAGACTTCTCTTACCCACTCTCCTAGGTTACCGATAAAACCCCATTTTTAGTGAAGATTGCAAAGAAAGTTCATTTAAATAACACATTTGGCCCAAGCATTGTTAGATACAGATGAATAATACAGGACACAGCTTTCAAGAAATTCAGTCTTGTGGAAAACACTAATCAGTATTTGCAGTTAATTTTTTTCTGTGTCAGGGACTAATGCTCTCACCCTCCTCATTCCCATGAGTTTCCTCCCTCACTGCTCCTCCCAAGCAGCTCCAGATAAACATAAAACCTAAGTGACAAAGAATGAACTTGATTTTGCAAACACAATTTCAGAACAAGCCCTGTAGCCTTGTTACTGGACCTTGAATGCCAGGTTCTTGAGTCTGGATGCCATAGAAATGAGCACTGGACTCAGTACAAGATCAAGCAGAGAGTTTATTGTGAAGCCATAGTTTATGGCTTCTATCAGGGCCTTGAGGAGGGTGTACGGTTTGGGAATGAGAATGAAGTAGGTCAATTGTCCCTAGATCATTATCTAGCAGCAGTTGAACCTGGGGTAAATGTTTTCCACAGTCAGTGGACCACCCAAAGGGCCTATAAAATGATGCTGTGCGAATATTCTAGTTACTATTTAATTGACAAAACAACTCTGTTGCAGAATGTGATGTCAAGGAAGGGTATTATCCTCATATATTCTTTCCTTTAAGGATGTGGCTACGTTAATTTTAACTACAGAATTTTGTTGAAAGCAAGGAGTCATAGCCTCTAGGACGGAGTTCTTTCTGTCAGGATGGACCCTTACACTGTCTCAGCCTCATTTCCAACTACTTTACCATTATTAAGTCTATCCGGTTTTCAGCACTGTAGCTGCTGCTGAGCTGCATTCTCCCCGTTTTAAATGAGAAACAGATGCAAATAATTTGCCCAGGTCACACAGCTAGTCACTGACAGAGCTGGATTCCATCCCAGGTTTGCCTGAGGCCAAAGTCCATGTTCTCAGCACTGTCATTACCCAAATTAGGGAGGATCACAATGAAAGTGTCAGTTCTGTGTGTGAAGCCCGAGTCAAGCTTCATCAAGAAAGACGCTCCTTAAGAAGGTGTTGAAGAACGAAATTATTTGGCAGGACTAATCATAGCCCACTTTATATTTCATAAGAGTTTTCACTTTTCATAGTGAAATGGCAGGGCAGATTTTCACACCCTGAGCAAATGTGTACTTCCTTTTCAAAGGACCCTGCGTTTCCACGATCCTCCGCCACAGTCAATGGGTTAGTGTGGGCACCTGCTGTCAGGACTGGCTTCTTGGGTGGGAAACTAGTCCAGTCACACAGGACCCACACTTAGAAGGGCTTGCTGTTTAATGCTCCATGGTGGCGGCCTTGAAATTCTGAATCATTTTATCTCTGAATTCGTGTTTTTTGACTGAAATGTTATGGGACAACGGAGCAAGCCTGGGGGCTGGAAGCCTCAGCTCCTGGGAAGTGCCACTTCCCATCCTTCCCCTGCCTCCGTGCAGGTGCCCACCAGGCCCTGGCACCCTGGTCCTCCCCAGCCAAGCCTAGTCTGCTGCCAGCCTCTGTGAGGGCAGCAGCAGCCAGGCCTCATTCCCCAGAAGGGATGAGGGAGGAATCTCGTGTTCTTCTATCGCCATCCACCCCGCGCCCCCTGAGTGCCTGGGCATTAACTAGGAGATGATCAGGGTCAAGTGCAGTCCCCCAATTCATTCCCGTGTCTCTGAGTGAGATAAGCAGCCATCCCTGCCCTAGGCTGGCAGCACCATGGCGGCTGCCAGAGCCTCTCACCCACCCCCATTCAGATACCTAGTGTGGCCAGGCACATAGGCTCCAATCTCTCAAGGGTCACCCATATCCTGTGGGGAGGGAATTGAGTTCTCTGCCCTGGGACAGGACCTCACATTTTCATTTTGCACTGGGCCCTGCAAATCATGCAGCTGGCCTTGCCTATACCTTTTACCTGTGTCCCCGGGCAAGTTACTTCGCCTCTCTCTGCCTCTATTTCTGTCTAAGATGATAGAAGCAACGATAATAATTACCTTGTGGTTGGGGATTGTTTTGAAGATTAACCGAAGTATCCAAGTGATGCCTAGTAGTCAGCAAGAACTAAATACATGCTGGCTGCCTTTAGTACAAGCCCACCAAGCAGGACATAATTGACTCCTTCTCCCAGACTATAGAAAGAGAAGGAAAATGACTTCTCCCAATAATCGGCTCTGGGACTTTGTTAAGCAAAGAGGTTTTGTTTGTTTGCTTGTTGTTAACTTCTGCCCCAATCCTTGGACTAGAGATAATGTTTTTTATTTCTAATCCGTTATACCAACTTTCCTTCCCTTCAAACCATCCTGCTTTATAATGATGACTTTATCCTGCTCTTCAGCATCCAGTTGTTTTACAATGCGATGAGTCTGGAAACTTCACACTGCCACTCCATGTATATACATGCTCAGAAAACTATAGACAGTGACTGAAGAAGATTGTTTTAATTTTTATTTATTGATTTGAGAGAAAGAGAGAGAAACATTGATTTGTTGTTCCACTTAGTTATGCATTCATTGGTTGATTCTTGTATGTGTCCTGACTGGGGATTGAACCTGCAACCTTGGAGTATCGGGATGAGGCTCTAACCAACTGAGCTACCTGGCCAGGGCAAAGGAAAGTTTGTTGTTGTTGTTGTTGTTTTTAAGATTTTATTTATTTATTTTTTAGAGGGGGAAGGGAGGGAGAAAGAGAGAGAGAAACATCAATGTGCGGTGCTGGGGGTCATGGCCTGCAGCCCAGGCATGCACCCTGACTGGGAATCGAACCTGTGACACTTTCAAAGGAAAGTTTTTAAAGACTGAAAGGCCAGATGCTTCCGCCAGCAGTTTGGAGTCGGTCATGAGAATCTGTACCTTCTTTAAGAAGCAAGAAGGCAATGAGGATGGAGAGCAGGCTCACATCTGTCTCCATCTTCCTGTCAAGTTTTCCAGCTACCAGCATATTTTTGCTTAATATTTAGGGTGTGGGTCAATTCTCCTTGGGAGGGTCTCTCCCGACTGATTGAAAAATTCCTGTCATGATGAGGTCAAATATCTCCATCTATTAATAAACACAGATGGTGGCCCTTAGACTTTGAAACGTTTTAATTTATGCGCAATAGTTTTAAGGTCACTCTTTTCTCCCAATGCCGCCCCAAGCGTTCTTGGAGAACTATAAATAAGAACCACTCAACTCTCAGCTCCTAGCTAGCATACAGTGAGTGCCAGACCGGGGGCAGTGTGTTCTTCCCACGGCATGCTCCCAGCTGGGGAGACACATTCTTCTGACAGATAATTAAGCCCGGCCATTCCCATTTCCTCCTGTGTGCAGTCCTGTGAAGCAGCCTCCTGGTATGCGTTAATCATCTTTGTCTAACAGGTGCCAGGCACATGGTAGAAATTCAACAAATATTTGCACCCCAGTGAGCGAAATGGTATGAGATGAAAAGCAGCCTGGGAAGTGATTGATTAGTAAGCAGGGGAAGCAAGAGTTCACACTCGAGCATCCACATTAGAGCTTGTACTTTTCAATCCCTTGGATACAAACTAGGACTTGATTTTAAAATAAATAAATACATAAATAAAACTTTATATTATTATATATGACATATACAATAGATTTATATGTGATATGTGATAGATTCTTATTTATAACTCAATATATTCTATAATATATCAATATTACCCTTCTTCTATATCACATGTTATTTACATATGATATCTGTATATAAAATAGTCAGGGGCTGAAGTGCATGTGATGGTTAATGGCCACTTGCCAAACTTCGAGTTTGGCCAGTGGTCCGGACGTGGAGGCCTGCCCCCCTCTCTCACTGAACACATGGGTCTTGCTGCACCCATGGGTCTTTCAACCCGCCTCTGAAGATGACGCGGAGTAAACCTGACTTCAGAAGCCTTTGGGATGGTGTCAGTCTCGTGGTACCAGGATATGAGGACCTGTTGGGGAGGCTCGCCGATTATAAACAAGGACTTCCTGTGATTTTTTTTTTCTCCACCACACACACAATCTAAGTTGGTCACATGGTAGGGGGCTTAATGAGCCTACTGTGTGTAATCTGTATTCTGTCTCCTTCAAAACACAAGTTCATGGCCTGATAGATTTATCAAACAAAGGCTTACGGATGGTCCGCTCGACTCTTCTCTGAGGCTCTCTCAGCAAGACTGCAAGTTCCCGAGAGCAGGGGCGTGGGTCTCCTGTGTGACTAGGACCTCCCCTGCATTAGCGCTGCAACATTAAGTGAGCCCTCAGTGAGGACGGGAGAAACCGGGATTCTCATCGTTATCAGAGGTGGGGGGCAAATTGATGGGGCAGTTGGGTGGGCAGTTTTGCAATATCCATCAGGATTTTATCAGGAATTTCGCTTCTACAAATGTATCC